TCTGATCCTTTCCCTGCTTGGCCCCACACAAAATGGCGGCTCCTGGAGCAGCTGAGCGTCCTGAACCAGGAAGCAATGGCTTTCTTGCTTCTGCCACAAACTCCCCAGCTGTAAGTCTTCCAACCTTCTAGATATTCCTTTATATGTGGTTCAGAGTACTGGGACCATTCCCTGAGCCTTCTTGGTCCTGTAGTCTATGTTGTTCTCAGCAGAGCTTGTCACTACACTTCCACCGGATCCGCCATCTTTTTCTGGAAGTCCATATCTGTTACATTTTGCTCTGGGCCCTCTTCACTAGTCTCCTTCGTGTTGGCCCCACCCTCTTAGCTCACCTCCTGATGTCCAGCCCAGGCTGTGCCTGTCCCCCTGTGGTCCTCTCCACACTTTGAAGTGTTGCTGTCCACACTCTGGACTGTATGCCAACGATAGGTGGAGAATCTCAAGGAGGGAACCTGTTTTACCTTTTCCATATCAGTAGTCAGCGGTCCAGGGCCTCTTATGTAATGATGTCTTGGCCTGCTCCCTTGCAGCACTGATGATGTGCTCTGGCCCATGGTTCCATTTCCAGAGCATGTGGTCTTCTGTCACCTGGGCTGTGCACCTGCAAGCGAGGGGCTGACTGTATTCCTTTTCCATGGCTGCTGTAATGAAGTTCTGCACGGCAGGTGCCTTGTAAGAACAGATGTGGACTATCTTAGTTCTGGGGCCTGGGAGTCCAAATCAGCATGTTGGCCATGCCGTTTCCCTTAGGCTGTGAGGGAGACCCTGTTCCAACCCTCTCCTGGCTCCTGGTGGCTCCCAGACATCCTTGGCACTTGGCTGAGTCTGCCTCTGTGGTCACCTGGCTGTCTTCCTCTGTCCACTTAGAAGAACACTTACAGTGTATGTTTACTGCTGCGTGGTATTCATTTCTGTGTATTATCTGCATATGTGTTTGCTGAGATTCAGGCCCACCCTACTCCAATATGACCTCATGCCTGGAACTGAGGCCATCTGCAGAGACTCTACTCCCAAACACGATAGTTTCTTTTGCCTTCTTAAAAAAACAGGCTTGTTCTAGCCTTGTACCTTCAATCCTTGTGTGTATGTGTGTTCTCTTCGATAGCAGCCCTGGTGATTCATTGGTTCAAATGCTTGGTCACTAACCAAAAGTTCAGCAGTTTGAAGCCACTAGCAAACCCATGGATGAAGGGGCAGCATTAGACTTGTAGTGAGCCTCTAGGACAGAGAACGGTTCTGTTGGTTCTCTGAGACTATGAACCTTACAAGAGCAGACAGCCTCATCCTTCTCCCACAGAGAAAGCAGCTGGTGGGTTCAAACTGCCGACCTTTTGATGAGCAGCCCAACAATGCTTAACCCATAGTGTCACTTGACTGCCCCATAGCGTCACTATGAGTTATGAGTCTGAATAGACTTGATGGTCCTCCCGGTTGTGGTTTTAGAATCAGTTAGTCCTGGGTCAGGCGTTTCCAAGATCTGCTGATACATGCGTTTTGGTGTCCAGAACCTTAGTCCAGTCTAGCTGTTGCGTGGGACCTGAGCAGGTGGACAGGGGCCCTTTGGTGCAGTTTTTCTCCGTCCTACAAGGTCGTGATAAGACTAACTCAACAAGGGCAGTGGGCTTTCTTTGATACAATCAAACATGCTCATCTCTCAGGGACCCCACTACTGTCACAAGGTGGGCTCTCCGGATATCTGGGTGCCTGCTGGTACCTACTGAGGGTTCCTGTCTCGAGTGAGGCTCAGCCATGGACTTAGAGTCTGTATCGGGCCAAGTCCTGGGCAGGCAGCTCTCTCAGTCTCTCAAAGTGGGTGGGACGGTCTTGCTCCCTTGAGAGGATCCTCTAGGTTACACGCAGGGTCTCACCCCAGTCCCTTGCTAGGCTGTGTGCTCTGATGACTCCCCTTCATTTCGGGTGTCCCCCCCGCCCTCTCTTTAAAGTGTGGGGTTTGCTCTTTGAGTTCAGATACAGATGAGGGCTTCACAAAGTTGGTAGAAAAATCCTTTCTCTTTTAATCCCATTTTCTCAGAGCCGAGTTTCCACGCACAATTCAAAGACACATGCTTTCCTCTTGTTGATGAGGTCTTCACAATCACATCCATTCCCTCTTTCTTCGTCTACTTCCTCACCTTCTGAAGCATGTCCTTGGCAAGTGGTGGCTTAATCTAAGGTGTGCAGACCTCACTCATGTTATTATTCCCGGTTGGAAATTGACCCTCAAGGACGTATCATAGTCTTGGGGGTGCCACCTGTCTATCCGACCAGTAAGTCCGGCCTTTTACCGTGATTGAGTTTTGTTCCACATTTTCTCCCACTCTACTCAGGACCTTCTCACGTAACTCTTTCAGAGCAGTTGGTAGTAGTAGCTGGGCACTGCCCACCTCTCCATGGCCATTCTGGGAATTGTTGAAGCCCCTTCTCTTGGATATTGACTTCTGAAAATACTCACTGGGTTTGATTAAGCATCTCACTGCGCTTTGTAGGGAAATGCCGTTTAACTGGGCCCACCAAGTGCAGGAGTCTCTTCCTGCTCTTACAACTCCCAAGTCAGGACGGGGGACCACTGGCACCTGGGCCCTCCTGACTGGATTTGTTCTCAGGGAGGCCAGAATGCCAGAAGCAATGCTGACAGGTTGGGCTGGGCTCGAGAGCTCCGAAGGGGCCCGTGGAGTGCTCTTCTCCCCCTGGAGTGCTCCTCTCCCCCTGGAGTGCTCCTCTCCCCCCTGGAGTGCTCCTCTCCCCCTGGAGTGCTCCTCTCCCCTGGAGTGCTCCTCTCCCCCTGGAGTGCTCCTCCCCCCTGGAGTGCTCCTCCCCCCTGGAGTGCTCTTCTCCCCCTGGAGTGCTCCTCCCCCCTGGAGTGCTCCTCTTCCCCTGGAGTGCTCCTCTCCCCCGGAACCAGTCTTGTGATGGCTGTCAACTCATCTGTTCCCTCCGGGCAGGGAGAAGGCTCAAGCAGCAACACTGGTGGCCCCTGAAGCTGAACTGTAAGGCCCGGGGCTCCTCCACCTACAGTGAGCAAGTAAGCCTGGGACTGGGCTGTACCCACACGCCTTCCCGCCTGCAGGCTCTGGGGGTCCCATCTCCCGGGGCCACCATGATGCTCATTCAGCTTTGGGGCACCACAGGAACCGCCTGAGGAGGGGCCTTGTACCCTACGTCATCTCACAGTCCAGGAACTGGGCCCTGAGACTGATGGGCCACGTAGGTGGGGATGCTGCAGAGGTCCCGGGGGCTACAGCTCAGACAACAGCCCTGAGGGGTCCCCTCACTTTGGAGTTGCCCACCTTCCTCTGTGTTGGGGTGGGGTTTTGTGCCTGACATCCCATGGGGGTGTGGGGCAGTCCACAGTTAGGATGCAGAGTGAAATAGGTATCTGGGGAACAGAGCGCGGTTCAGATGCCTGCCAGGCAAACCCTGTGACTGTGATTCTGAACTAAAGTAGCTGGCGTGTCCCTGTGGGGTCCCAGTACCTGTCCACCTTCTAACCCTGCACCGTGTGACTCCATAGGGGACAGATGGGCAGCTGTCAGTCACTGAAGAAAGCCCTGCTTGGGGAGGTCCCCACTGTGGCCGGCGCTGTTGAGCATGGCAGGGCTGGCCGGCAGGGGGCTGGGTGGGACCACCAGGACCTCAGCTGAATAGGTCCCATGTGCAGGGCACCTGGGGTCTCTCCTGTCCCAGCCTCTCCCTCCTCCCAGAAACCATTCAAAGCTGACCCGGACAAGCTGGTATGCCTGGTATCCCACACATGCAGGTCCCAGACCACACTGCCAGGTGCAGCCCTAGCCCAACCCCCTTTTGGGTTCCCAGGGGTACAGCCCGCCATCCTCAGGGGTAACATGTGCTCATATCATTCAACGCTGATGTTCTGGACCCCTCCTCGGACACACACACACACACACACACTCCTACCCTTGTGGGGTGCATTTGGGGACCCATCAGGACAAGGGATCCTCTGCAAGTCTCTAGTCTTTTATTCATACAAGACACTGCACCTGTTAACAGGCGGTGTGGGGGTGGAGGGCCACAGCATCCAGCCCCCTAAGGGAAGGAGAACCTAGGCCTACCTCCTTGCCCCTGAATATCTGGGGTTACTCGGTGGGCTTCCCTGTGGGAACAGCTCTCCCTGGCCAGGGCACCCAAGACAGGAGACCTCCATCCTCCAACCCAGCGGGGAAAAGCAAAGCAGTGCTAGGTGGTCTTCCGGGGGCTCGTGCTGGTTAGAACCCTCGCCCCCTTAGGAGCCTCCTTCCCCTTACCTGAGCCCCTTCCCCAGGTCCTGTGGGCAGCTGGGCCCAGGAGAAGGGAGGGCAGGCAGCGGCTGGGGAGGGGCTGGGGCAACCTGAGTGAGGTTAGAGGAAGAGCATCAAGGTCAAAGGGCAGCTACTCCCCAAAAAGCTCTTGGGAGGCAGAAATTATAGGGGGCTGCATGGGACGCATGTCTGTAAAAGCCCTTAACTGTCCATGCTCTGCTCAGCCCCCTTGGCCCTTGCAGCCATCTGAGGGCAGGGAAGGCCCTCGATGCCTAGCTGAGCTGTGGTTAGCTCACAGTACAGGTCGTCTGGAGCTGGCCTGGCCCTGGGTGGGCACGGGGGTAGGGTAGGACAATGGTCTGGCTCTCTCAGCCTGGAGGTGGACCCCAGGGCACAGGGACAGTCCGCAGCTGCAGAGGACTGTAGGAAGAGCAACCCCCAACCAACAGCACACAGAAACCACAGAGACACGTGGCCAGCTGGACTCCCAGGTTCTCACACCCGGCGCCTCAGGTTCCACCGACTCAGACCCCCGTCCCTGGGGGGTTCCACTGAGGATGGAGCCCCCGAGGCCCCAGTGAACATTAAGGTGCCTAAGCATACTCTCAAGGCCTCCCTAGGCCCTGGGGGGTGGAGAGTTCCCACCTCACTGGGCTTCTGGGGAGGTGGAGAAAGGACCCCACACAGCTCCCAGCACAGCGAGGAAGGCAAAGGAGCACTGTGGGAGGCTGGGGGACTGCTGACCGGTCCTAGGGATGCCCAGGGCGGAGGTGGACGGGTGGGCAGGGCAGCACGTGCAGGCAGCAGCCGCCACCACCGTTCCCCTGAGGTCCCTGAAAATACATGGCTTGGGGGACACTTGCTCCCTGCTGACCTGAGGGCCTTGTAGGAAGTAAATAGCCAGGGTGGCGAGGTCAAGCCTGGGGGCCACACCCCCATGCACCCCACGCCAGCGCAGACACAGAGCCACCCCTCTGGGTCACCCCGCCACCGCCCTCGCTAAGGGTCATTAAATAGAGTCTGTTTCGCGTTTTGGCAAAGTCAGTCCTTGGCCCCCAGTCCCTGGGGCAGGTGGCATTACCGCCACCGGGGCCTGGGAGCTGCGAGGACCAAGGTGAGGAGGAGAAGGAAGAGGGGCGCTTGGGGCCGGGGGCCAGTAGAGGACGAGCCCTCTCGCTCGGACAGGCCGGGGAGGGCGTGCGTCGCGGTCGTCCGAGAGCTGGAGCCCTTCTTGCTGACTCTGTGCCCGCAGACATCGTCTGGGCAGCCACCGCCGCTCCCGGAGCCGCTGCCATCGTCACCTGGGGAGGAACAGGGTCCAGGTCGCAAAGCCCCCCTCCAAGGTCCTCATGCCTCGCCTGCTGGCTTTGTGCCTGGCTCCAACCGGACCTCCACCCCGCCAGCCTGGCGCTCGCGGGTGCCCCAGGTAGGACACAACTGTGCATGGAGACGCGGGGGACTTGGTGGCTAAATCTGGGAAGACCTCTTGCTGAGCAACGGCTCCCAGAGAACCTGAGTGGGGGTGTCCCTCTCCTAGAGCCCCGCCTTCCCACAGACCCTCTTGGTCCCGCCCCTGGATCTGCCCACCCCACAAACCAGTTCCTGGTCGCCTCACTTCTACCAAGACCCTAGGACCTGGCCTCCGCCCCCTGCCCAAGTGTGAGTCCCGCCCTCTCAGTGCTGTGGTTGACCAGCTCCATGCTGCCTGCAGCCCAGAGGTTAAGGGCCATCCCACCTCCATCCATCCCTACCTGGTCCCCTTGCCCACTCACTGGTGGGTCCCTCCCTCTCTTCTGCTCCTGGCCAGGCCCAGTGCTCAGGGCCTGCCCCGGCCCACCCCACACGCAGGTCCCTCCAGTTCTCACTGGCGTCCTGAAAGTCCACGTCTTTGCCATTGTAGGCGCTGCGCAGCCGATTGGTCATGATCTTCAACTGCATGATCTGCTGCCTGATGGTCATGTCTGGCTTCGTGATGTCCACTTCCACTTCGGGGTTATTGATCTGGTTGGCTAGGCCATCTCCCATCACCTCGGGGAGGTACCTAGGGCCACACAGACAAGGGAGGCTCTGTTCAGTAGATGGTAACCCAACAGTGGGCCATCTTGGGAAGTAGGTTCCCAAGCACTGGCCCCAGGTGGCAGACACCGTAACTAACACTGCACCCCCTTGGGAAGGGAGAACCTGAGACACCAGAGGGTCCCTGGGGGCAATCGGTTGCTGTTAGGAACTGCCCACCCTTGGGTTCTGTGTCCAGCATGGAGACTTAGGGCCATAAGGGCTGCCCCTTGGGGCCCCAGGGAAGAGGGTGGGCATTGGGCATCAGGCATCTCACCGGCCCTTGGTCATTCCGTTCCAGCAGCGGTCATCGCTGGCGGTGCTTACGACCACTCTCTCACTGCACAGTGTCCCTGGGAGGCTGACCCAGAAATCCTGGACATCGCGGAGCTGAGCTTTGGCCTCGGAGACCTGTAGGCAGCAGAGAGTTGCTGGGTGGTCCACAGCTAGTCTGCCAGCCTCCCACGGTCAAAGCCTCAGACTTGGTTCTGGGGTGGCGCGGTGATGGGGCTCTTACCAGCTTCTCCAGTACGCCGGAAGGGGTCTTTTCCTGTGACTCCAGCTTGCCCCGATGGCGCTTCTCCTCCGGCCCAGTGCTCTGAGGGTTGACCTGGGGGTTCCCGCAGCCCTGGATGACCTGGGAAATACCACAGGGTTCAGGAGGGTGTCTCAGGCCCAGAGGAGGCCACATTGGAGACACACCCACCCCTCCATGCCCTACTGCCCTCACCTTGGCTGTGAGCGTGTCCCTGTTGTCCTGGAGGGCATCGATGGCCTCCGCCAGCCACATGTGCACACTGGAGATGACACTCTCGGTGCCAGAGGGACCCCAGAACTTGTCGGTGATAAGAACCATGGAGTCTGATGGGGTGAGAGTCACATGCACACGTTACCATGTGGATACACACGCGGGGCACAGGCCCGGGCTCGTCTGGGAGTGCATACCCAGGCTGGTCCATCATGTTATCCTGCACACTAGAACACTGGTACACACAGGGGATAGTTTTTATGCATATTGACTCACCTACTGTCAAAACATACCAGTTCCCATGCATGTCTGCACAGTGACCTGCCATGTATCAGGTCATGTGCATGTTATGTTGTATGAGCTGGTATTTATACATAATGGCTTGCCATCCCACACAAAGGGGATTGACATGTGGATCCACCATGTACAGGTTCACAGTCACGTCTGCCGACAAATATGAAGGCAGACTCACCGCATTTCAGCAGCATGTATGTGTTACCTTACATATATGTTGGCATGTATGGATGCTGATCCTCGTGTCAATATGTGCATGTTGGTTCCTGTGCTGGTTCTCACTGGCATGTACACGTTAACGCACTGTGTGGGCACAGGAATGTACCAGCTCACGTGTTAGCGTGTATGCAATCATCAGCACTATGCATATCAGATCACATGTTGACACACATGCATGCTGGCCAGGTGTCACTCAGCACTCTAATCCCACTGGGCCACCTCCCAGGCACCTGCCCCAGTGCAGCTCTGAGTCACTGCCCAGCCCCCCCTCGCCTCTCCTGCAGGCCCTGCGTGAGGGCGCCTGGGACCTGCTCACCCAGAAGGTTCCTCCACTCCGCGTCCAGGTCGGCCTGGTTGGCAAGGCAGCCTTTGAGTACATTTCGGCAGTAGTTGGGGCAGGGCCGGGCACCGGGCACCCCCAGGCAGTGGGCACAATAAACCAGCTTCATGATGGCCCTTGAACACTCTGGACCCAAGGGCACCTGTAGGAAAGGCAGCCTCGTCTGGACTGTGTGCCTCACTGTCCCCACTTGGGGAGGGCCCAGTGGGATCAGAAGGCAGCCTGGCCCAGGACACGTGGGAATAATCATCATGGTCATGACCACTGGGAAGCATGACCATCCTGCCATGAAGACAGGGAAACTGAGGCTCAGAGGTGGGGTGACTTGCTAAGGACACCAGGCAGGTCTGAAGGGTGGGGCCCTTGGGTGAAGTGTCCACTGGAAGCCTGACCTTCTTGACCTCAGTCATGATCTGGAGGATAGGACTGGGCAGTGAGGACAGAAGGCTCCCATCTGGACCAGCTGTCAGGAGGCGGATCCCAAAGCAGCATCTGGGCCATAGTATGGGGCACAGGGCAGAGAGTGGGGGTGTCTGGGGGTTCCTGAAAGACCCTGGCAGTGAGCAGTACGCACCTGGGCCACCTTGCGGACCACATCACTGGTCACGCCCAGGCCCTGCACGAAGGCGCGAGCTGCCACGAAGGCGCGGGTGGCTCGTAGGCGCAGCTCACGAGGGGCATCCCCGAAGGGCCGCAGGGCCTCGGCCTGCTTGCCCAGGCAGTCCAGATAGTCTTCGGGCAGCAGCAGCTGTGGGTGCAACTGCCTGAAGAGGCGTTCTAGCAGACGGGCCCAAAACTCAGCCAGTGTCTCCTCCAAGTGCAGGTTGGCACCTCGGTAGTAGAGACGCAGCTCGGCATACAGGTCTCGGAAGGCCTTGGTGTTCTGCGTGTACAGGTCCCCAAAGGCTGCGGGGAAGGTGTCCTGCAGTGCCCGTTCGGAGCTATTCAGTAGGCGTTGGAAATAGTCTGCAGCAGAGAGGTGGCAGGAGGTGCTGGGGCAGGGACCAAGGATGGGGCGACCAGCCCCGCCACTCACTACATCTTAGGAACCGAAAGGCGTGTGCCCAGAAGCACCTTGGGAGAAAGGTCTGAAGCTCTACTGCATGGACTATGGAGCACAGTTCGACTCTGACACGTGGGGTCGCTGAGTTGGAACTGACATGATGACAGGGTTTTATGGTTTTTTTGTAAACCTTATCTTCGGATCCTGAGATTGAAACTCAGCTGCTTTGTCTGTGCCCCAGTCTGGGGGGGTGCACCGTGGCTCTGCCGGTACAGGGAGTCGGACTAGATACCTCTCAGCCTTAAGAGGTACTGGGGTCCTGGACCATCCTGAGTCAACTGGTCTGGGGGCAGCCTGAGGGCTTGCTGTGCAAGAGGGTGGGTCTTAGAGGGACCACCTGTAGCCCCACCCCACCCTAGGCACAGGCGGGTCTAGTTCTGAATGGCCTCATCTGAGACCTACAGGAACCTAACTAGGTGAGTTGAAGCCATGGGGTGGGTCTGTGATTCACTCCTGGGGACCTCAGAAATGGGGGTCCTGCTGCTGTGGGCAGGAGGCCAGGTGGGCACTCTGCCCTGGCCCCAGGAAGTGACAAGTGTGCCGAGTCTGGGGGCAGCATTGACATACATTCCCCATCCAAGCCCCTCTTTTAACTGTACCCTGGATCTCTGGGGGTACCTGCACCAGCCCAGCCTCGGATTGCTTCCTACCCCACCCTCCTCCATTTTGCTGGGACCCCCTCTCGCTTACCGTCGAAGCCGCGCAGCTGGGCGGTGAGTGTGATATGCAGGGCACGGCTGCTATCTCGAAGGCCTGTCTCCAGCTCGGTGCGGCTGCGGTTGGCCAGGTTCTCCTCCATCTCACTGGTGCAGCAGGTGTATCCCTGGGGGCAGATTCTCAGGTGCTCACCTGTCAGGGGAAGGACAGTGTCAGGGGAGGGGTGGGCACAGCCGGAACAACTGGACGGGCACCGTTCAGGCATCTTTGGACTGGAGGGACCCAAGGGGAAGATGCTCCACTGGGGTCCAGGCCAGGGCTTTGGGAGTGGGGTGTAAGGCAAGGCTAAGACCACCCCTGCTTCACTCACACTTGAGGAGGAAACCTACCCCATCTCCAAGCAGCCTGGTTCCCACCTGTAAGTCAGGCAGAGGGCTGGCACCAGGCCTGAAGGGAGGGGACAGGGAGGAAGAGGAGTACCCCAGAGGGGCAGGGCAGACCGAGGGAGCCCACCATGAAAGAGTGATGGAGAGACCTGGGATGGTGGTCTGGGCTGGCCAGAGTTAACTATCTATCCCCTGAGCACAGCCTGCAGGGTCAGGACAGGGTCCTGGTACAAGTCTGAGGGGGGTGGAGACAGGTTCACCTTGGACAGGTGGTGGGTTAACGCCCTGCCCCTCTGGGGGCCACCCAAGCTCCTCCCAGTGACCTGGACCCAGGTGTGCCCCGCCTCCTCCTCTCCACACTGGATGCCCCATGCCATCAAACTGCTGCCATTGCGTTTCCTGCATCGGAAGACTGTGCACAGTGACACTTGATCACACATGGGACATTCAACTCAGGATTGAGGACAATCGTGAGAGAGCAACAGCCTCCCCCCTCCCCAAGTACACCAAGGGCCATTCAGAGGCGGTCAGAGAAGGGGTGGGGGTGGGGGTACAGTTCATGTGCTGACCCCAATTTCAAGCGGTCCCTGGGCATCACAAATGGCTGTTAAGTACTTGATGACTAAACAAAATGTTGATGGCTCCACCCCACCCAGAGACGTAGCAGAAGAAAGGTGTGGCAATCTTCAGAGCGTACTCTGACATACACCGGGACAGGGTAAGTCACAGTCAAGGGCAAAGCCAAAGTTGTGGTTTGGGTTAGAATCCTATCTTCAAAAAAACAGTGTTGTGGAGGGTGGCGATCCCATTTTATAGACCAGGAAACTGAGGGCAGGAGAGTAAGTTTTTCTCCAAGTTACAAAGTGACTCAGGCTCCACCCCGTGTCCTGGACCAGATGCTCCCTCGGGACCAAACTTTCTGACCAGGAGCCTGGGCTGGGGATAGGATAGCGCAGTGGGGGAGGGTCCTAGGCTGGGAGGGGTCAGTGTGGTTCCCAGGTGTCAGGGTTTAGGCTGGTGAGCAAACAGCCAGCAAACAGAAAGGAAAGCCCATACCCCAACCTGGGGGCCTCAAGGGAGAGGAGGCCAAGGAAGGAGAGGGGTGGGCTAAGCGATAGGGTGGGGGAGGGGAGGAGGAGAGGATGCACAGGGATCCTGACCAGGTGGTTCTGCCAGTCTTCAGCCTTTCCTTGGGCTGCTCTAGGGGTCTTCAAGAAGAGGAGGGTGGGGAGAGGAGGAAAGGACCCAGAAATCTGTGGCTGTGGGAGGGAGGGCTGGACTACTGCCCACCCTGCCATGATGGGGGGGGCATCTAAGATAAATGATGGAGAGACTGAATTAATTGGGGGGGGGTTTGGCATCTAAGATAAATGATGGAGGGACTGAATTAACTCTGCGTTCAGCTCAGAAGCAGGAGGCTGGGGATGGGTTGGGGGCTAGCTCAGTCTGCTGCCCCCGCTTTGGGGGAGGTCAGAGGGCAGGAGACATGAGAGCAGGGAGGAGCCACCCCTATATGCAGCCTGCTGTGTTGGCACCCTGCCCCCACTTTCCTTACGGGTTTTCTGGAAGGTTCCGCGGGGGGGGGGCACATGGGCCTGTGGTGACATCATCCCTGGCTCCTACCCGGGTCTCTCACCACCCTAAGCCCAGGGACAGGAGGGGCAGTGTACTAGGTGGGGACCTCGTGGCCCATGCAGAGACGTCAGAGAGCTAAAGCTGACCAATCCCTACAGGGCAGGGCTGCTCTAGGGGTGTCCACCTGAGGGGGCTGCTGTGGCCTCCCCACCTAAGATGGGGGCATCAGGGTGCTCAGAGCTGATCCCCAGCGGAGTGGGTCAGGCCCTTTTGAGGCCGGTGTACCTTTGTGGGGGGGTACTGGGGGAGCTAACCCAGCTCTGAGCAGCGTCCATCCCCGCTCCCCGCTAACCACGCCCAGGCCTGACCACACCCAGGGACCAGTCTTCAGTGTTTGTCTCAGCTGTTTATTGACTATCTCAAGACTCGGGACCTTCCCCCCCACCCCCCGCCCCACCCTCGGGCAAGATTCGGGTAGGTATAGGCTTCTCCCTGGGTCGGTGGTCAGCACCCTTCTCACACCAAGGGCATCCTGAGGAGAGGCTTTGAGCTACAAGGGGGTGGAAATGGTGCCAGAGACCCTCACCCAGGCCTATAGAAAGCCTCTGGGAGCCATGGGTGTTGCTGGTGGTGGTGGTGATTTCGGTGGGGGGCAGAGCAATGAGGCACCTGGAAGGGGCACTATTCTGCCTCTCATCAGGGGCTGTCTGGAGCAGAGAGCTTGGGGTGTGCGGGTATGAGTGTCTTAGCCAGGGTAAGCGTAAGGGTGGGGTGGACGGGCCTGGGGACTTCTTAGTGGGAGCAGTTAGCATTTCCAGCTGATATCCTAGGGTGGGATTTTGCTGAGTCTGAGGCAGAGGGGGGCACAGTCTGTGTGTGGATTAGGCCCGAACCCACCCTTGCTGGCTCCTCCCTCTTGGGGCCCCATCCTCTGGGGACCAAACGCCCACCCATCCATACAGGCAGGAGGAAGACCCGAAGGTGAGGGGGCTGTGATGCCAGTCCACGCACCCACTCCTAGATGTGAGCTGGCCCTACCCTGTGGGCTTCCTCCCCGCTGCCTGGCCACCTCGCCCAGCCAGCCCGGAGACCTGTGCCGTTCCGGCCGCCCCAGCACAGCCCCCGTCCCTCCCTCCCTCCTCGGACAGTCACGGGAGTGAAGACACGGAGCCAGAGCCTGGGCGCCGGCCTGAGGCCCCCGGGGCAGGCTGGGCCAAGCAGTGGCCTGAGGCCACGGCAAGTCGAGAGTCACTAGGGGTGGGGGTGGGTCGAAGGCACAGAGGTTTCCCGCTCCCCTCCTGCTGAGCCCTGGGGACCGTGGGGACAAGCCCAGCCTGCTAGTCCTAGGCACCCCAGCCAGCACAGCCGGCCACCCCTCCTGGTTGGAGCCGAGTAGTTCAAGGGGGTGTGCTCGGGATGAACTCCCTGTATGTCTCAGGTGGTCTGGCCCCTAAGATGGATTCTGTTTTCTGTCATTTCAAACACCTACCCCCTCCTTCTCTCAGCACACCCAAGGAAAGGAAGACCCTCCCTCCCTCCTAGAGCTGCCAAGCAGTGCCCCCTCCCTACACCTCAGTGCCCATTCCAAGTCTACAGCCTCAGCCAACAGCAGCCCTTCTGCATCAGTGTCCCTGCTCCCCGGGCCCCTCTGGTCAGCATCACTCGGACCAATGTCCCCTCCTTCTTCCTTGATCCTTTTTTTTTTGCCTCAACAGGTGGTTGGTTGTGCCTTTAGCTTCAGGGACACTGCCCTGGCCAGGTGCTCTGGGGTTTGGTTTTTAGGGGTATTGATTTTTGCTGTGAAATCCCAGTACCTGTAAAGATTTTTAATCTAGGAGACCAGAAGGAGCTATCCTACAGGGTTGTTACTCTATCCTACAGTCGGAGTCGATGGCAGTGTTGTTGTTGTTTTAAATTGTTTTTGAGCAGGGTTGTTCCATGACCCCAAATCCCCAGGCTCCAGCCAGCCAGGTGCCCTCGGGCCAAGCATGTCCAGGGTTGGAACATTGTGCACATATTACCTCCCTAAATGCACCTGCCCTTTGTGGCTCCTCCAGATGGTAGGCCCACATGCCATCTTCTCCCCTCAGACTTACACCGCTGGAGTCACCCTAGATCCCCCCTCTCCTCACTAAACCACCGGCTGTTCTGTGTCCTACAGGCTCTGACACACCCCCTTCTGCCCCCTCTCCCCCCCATCATCATCGGCTTCCCAACACTCCACCTCCCAACAGTCACCACCCCAGGTGTGGACCCTGGCCCTGGGAGCAATGTGACCAGTTGGTGCCGGCTCCGCCACGGAGACTGCAGAGGGTCAGTGGCACCAAGCCAAGCCCCATTCCGAAGGACTTCCGCTGCTCACACCTACCCAACCTGCCGGAAAGCCACTTCCCAGAACCCCACAAAGCCCCCTGGAATTCAGTCCTGACACAGTCCAAGCAACCCGCCCAGAGGAAGCCAGGGAGAGAGGGCAGGTTTGGAAATCAGGAGCCCTCCATTCTAAGGAGCGTTGGTAGCATAGTGGTTACGAATCGGGCTGCTAACGTCAGGGTGAGCAGTTCGGAACTACCAGCTGTTCCGCGGGAGGAAAATGATGCTTTCTGCTCGGAAACCCTGTACAGGGCTCACTATGAGTCGGAATGGACTCCACGCACCCCCCCCCCACCCTGCTTTTAGCTGGCTGGGGGAGGGGCGGGACAGGCTTTCTGGCCAGAGACCCTTCTCCGTGTGCTTGCTTCTGCTCGGGGCCAGGACCCTTCCAGAATGCCCATCAGCCTGTTTAGGAGGGAGGCCCAGGTTCCCCGGACAGCGCCCCTGCCGGACTCCAGACCTCCATTTCTATTCCTCCCTCACCAAGAAGCCCTGGCGGGGGTCTGCCACGGTGGGGGCACCCGAGTGCCTAAGATCCGACAGGAGGCGGTCCTACTTCCACCAACACCGAGCACATTTCTGTCGCCCTCTCTAGTTCCCCAACACCAGGATAACCATCCCAGCAGCCTCCCCTTCCCAAAGCTTCCCGGCCCCTCTCCACAACCTCACCAAAGACCTGACCCCGCCACCACTTCAGCCAACTGACAGCGTCACCAAGGAGCCCCTCCGCGGCCCGCCCCCAGGCCAGCGCAGCTCTCCAGCCACCCGCTGATGTCCGCGCCGGCGACCAGCGCCAAATGGGCAGGCGTCCGCGGAGCCAAGTGCTCGGTGGCGGCCCGAGCGTGGCCGCGGGGTAGCTGG